CGCCCCCTTCCTCTCTCTTTCTGTTGTTTTGTGCTGAGACAAGGTCTCACGATGTTGCCCAAACTGGCCTCCAACTCCTGGGCTGACACCCCCCGCCCATGCCAACTCTCTGTCTCCGGCCTGCAGCGCGCTCCTCCGACCACCAGAGGCCGCTGCGAAGCCCTCGCTCTCGCCCATGTCGGCGAGCGCGGTCTCTGTGCGTGCGAGGCGCGTGCTTGTGGGAGGCGGGGCCAGAAGCGGAAGTGCAGCCGGCGTGGCCACCGCCCCGCAGCCGGACGCGGAGCGTGTCCTGCAGGCCCCGGTTGCGTGCAGCCCTGGCGGGTTTGCTGGGTCACACCTCCGGTGTGGGCCGGTCCCCACCCCCAGTCTACCGTCCCTATCCCGCTCTCCCCGCCCCATGGCGCTGCAGAGTTCGGGGGTGGCCTTCCGCAGGATCCTGTCCCACTTCCCCGAGGAGGTGAGCCTGGCTTTCGCCTACGGCTCCGGGGTGTACCGCCAGGCCGGGCCCAATTCAGACCAGAAGGTGAGCCCGGCCCCGGAGCTGGACCTCCCGTGCAGAGGCGGCGTGTTCTCAAGTACCCTTGTGCCCACATGACACCGCGCAGAGTGCAGCCCAGTGTGGCAATAGCTCTAGCCGAGTCCCAACCAATGGTAAAAGGGATGGAACCCAGGGCCTTGGCACTGAGTTACGTCCCAACCCTTTTTTATTTTTTGTTTTTGAGGCAGGGTCTAGCTAAATTGTCCATCCTGGGCTCGGACTTAAGATCCTCCTGCCTCAGCCTCCCAGAGTGCTGGGATTACATGTGCCCCACCACCCCTGGCTTCCTCCAAATCTTAAGTGTCACCGGTGGTTTGTGGATCACACAGTGAGTGAGCAGGCCTTGGGCCCTGAATAGCCACTCCATCATTTTTCACAGGTTTTCCTTTGAGCAGACCCGGAAATCCTCCAAGAAGAGACCTTTCCTTTCCTTCGTTCTCATTTCCCTACATTTAAATTAACAAGTCTTATATGCTCCAACATTGAAATCTCTGAAGTCAGTCGGAAGCCTCGGTGTCTTAGCTGATACCCTTTCATTCCTCACCCGGAGTCCTTCGGTGGCTTCCGATAAGATTTCCTCCACCCTTAATCTCTGCTGCCTCCTCTCAGCACACTTCTGCAGGGAAGAGTCCTGGCATGGCTAGCACCGCCCTCTCTGGTCTCATCCACTGCATAAGTGTGTTCTTTGCTAGCAGTGTCAGACTGTGGCTCCCCGTCCACGGGAGCAGGTTTCCCTGATATGACTCCTGCCCTCCCTGGTGCTTACCCATATACTTCCACCCATACATTCTTCAGGACGTTGCCAGGAAATTTTCTCCTTTTTGTTCTCTGGATCGTTCATTCAGTCCAAGTGAAGTTACTCCATTATGCTTTCTTCCAATTCAGTTTAGTAATAAATTGTGTCTGCTGCCCAGTAGACTCTGAGCTCATCCACGATAGGACCTGGCAGAGTCCTTTGAGCTACTGCACGAGTGCTTAGTGAGTAGCTTATTTCCCTTTACTGACTGCTTTACAGAGTTTGCCCGAGTAAATTAATTTGCTCAAGTGGATCACCTCTGCTATATTTAGTTGAAAGGCAGTGTATGGTAAGGGCTCAGCACACAGGATTTGGGGGCACCCTACTTAGGGCTGCCACTCATTAGCTCTGTGTCTTTGGGCCAAGTGCTTACCCTGGACTTCGGTTTCCTTTCCTGTGAATTAGGGATCATAGACCGTCCTGAGAGATTGTTTTGGAGATGGAATGAGTTACTGTGTGTAGTATATGTAAAGCATGTGGACAGTTCTGGCCCAGTACACATTAAGTGATGTCACTATCAATGAGAAGAAAGCTCTGCTTGGTCCTAGAGGCTGGCTTAAGTTTCCAATGCCAAGCCTAGATACTCTGTTAATTGTAGTAGCAGAGTACTTCGGAGCTCTCATCTAGCTGCTTCTCTCAGAGGTAATGCTGACCTCACTTTCTACAGAATGCCATGCTGGATTTTGTCTTCACGGTGGATGACCCCGTTGCGTGGCATTCAAAGAACCTGAAGAAGAATTGGAGCCACTACTCTTTCCTAAAACTTTTGGGGCCCAAGATGATCTTCTCTGTCCAGAATAATTATGGCGCTGGAGTTTACTACAATCCGCTGATCCTGTGTGATGGGAGGGTAAGTGAGTGGCTCTTTGTCTTAACTTGGGTTGAAGTTCTACCCTTCGCTAGTGGAATACTGGTGAAATATGTGTGTTCAGGCAGGAATCAGCCTGGCTGGATGTCGAACTCAGGACAGGCAAGAGGCGGAGCCCTCTCCTCCCCCTTGACTGTGATTGCAGTTTGAGAAGGTGGTTGGATGTGACTGACTTTCTTTTTTTGTTTTTCACCGAGTGGTTCTCAAATTGTAATCTGTTGGACACACAGACTGCAGGTCCCAAACTGAGTTTCTTATTTTCTGCTGAAGAACTTGGTTTTCTTTTTTTTGCTTCTTTGTTGTTATGTTTTGTTTCTTTGAGACAGGATCTTGTTATGTAGTTGAGGCTGGCCTTGAACTCAGCTTGAACTCACTATGTAGCCCAGGCAGGTCTCAAACTCAAGGTGATCCTCTTGCCTCGGCCTCCTGAGTGCTGGGATTACAGTGCTGGGATTAGTGCACCATCACGCCTGGTCCCATGCAGTCCTGGAGCCAGACAGGAGGGCAGAGGTAGTCAGTGAACAAAGCCTGCCGCTTCCACCGTGCAAAAGGCAGAGGTGTGTTCTTTTTCTGTAATTAGTTTTTGTTTTTTGAGACAGGGTCTCGCCATGTAGCCCAGGCTGGCCTCCAACTCACTGCAGTCCTTCGTCAGCCTCCTTAGTCCTGGGACTACGGGTGTGTGCCACCATACCCCACCCTCTGTGATTAAATTATGCTGAGTTTATCTCTAGTAATTTTCAGACAACATTACAAGCTCCAGTAAGCAAATGTTTGACCATAATTGTATGTCACCGGGGCAATATGTTTTATTTTTTATTAGGTATTTTCAGCCCAAGGAAGTTATGTGCATACTGAAATTTAGCAAAGTGGGTTTGAAAACATTTGTTTACACAAATGGGGCTTTATAACCTGAGAAATCTACTTTCAGGGTTTATGCGTATTGTTACAGAAATGAACTTGACCATGATTGTATGTGTTTAGCATTGAGAAAGAGGTTTTATTTTTGAATGTTCCTTTGTAATTATAAACATTTTCAAGAGTCAACAGCAACAGAGAAATTTACTGTGTGAAGGAGGTCAGTGAAAACTTTTAGAGAAACTTTCTGGTACTTTTTAATGAAAGGGTTGGCCGACCAGACTGAAGTTCTCAGAGCTGGAGGGATTAAAATGGGGGCTTCCTGTGTTGCCTTGAGCTTGAACTGTTGGGCTCAAGCAGTCCCCCAGCCTCAGGCTACCAAGTAGCCGGAACCACAAAGGCCTGGAACTGCAGCCAGCCCTAGGACCTAGTTTAACTCTGCCATTTCTGGTGCCACATTAAGCATGTTGTTTATTCTTTCTGGGGCTCACTTTATGTCTGAAATGAGGAGAATTAACTAAATTCTTACTTCTCAGACTGTGAGGAAATTACTGGTTTCTTCCCTTGCAGCCTGTGAGGACTAGGACTGGATATATCTAGGAGCCGCTCTGCCTTAACATCTCCTCGACCTATGTTAACGTCCTTACCTAACCTCATGTGTCGTAGGAGCCAGGCTGGTCTTAGGGGTTCTGATGGAGGAGGGGGTGGCTTTCACAGGTTGGGGTCTTTGCTTTTTAAGACAGGTTCTTGCTATGTAGTTCAGGCTACCCTTGCACTCACTATGTAGCCCAGGCTGGCCTCAGACTCAAAGAGATCTTCCTGCTTCGGCCTCCTGAATGCTAGGACACAGGCATTTTGAGTGGCTGTGGAAAGCAAGGTGCTACTCTGGTCAGGAATTTGATCTGTGTCTGTGTTAGTTACTTTTCCCGTTGCTGAAACAAAATACCTGACACCCAAAGTTAAAAGGAAAAAGGTTTATTTAGCTCACAGTTTGTAGAGGTTTTAGTCCATAATTGTCTGGCTCCAAGACAGGGTGGCACATGGCAGAGGGGCAACAATTCGTGGAAGACCTAAGGTTGCAAAGCAACAAGGAACCTTAAGAGCGTCTTTCTGCCCCTTTCATCTTCTTCAGTCTACTTAGGGCTGGTAGCACTCACGCCCTTAATCCCAGTGCCCTTGGGCCTAGCCCCAGGATGACTCAGTCACACACTGTAGATTCAGCCACCTCTAAAAAAGCGTGAGGCTTTGCGGGGGGCATCTCAACACAAGCTGTACCAGTGTTGTTATATCTTATACTTGTGGAATCAGCAGCCTGGGATTTTGCTCTTTTTTATGCCAGTTTCTCTCTTCAGCTTGTCAAGTACGGGGTGATCAGCACCAGTACTCTGATTGAAGACCTGCTCGGCTGGAATAACTTATACATCGCTGGCCGCCTCCAGAAACCGGTGAGTCTGTGTGCCTGCTTTCTGGTGGCCACCACCATGCAGCCTCTTGTCCCCACACCCTGGTCCTTGTGACTGCCCCAAGATGGGACTCTGGGAAGTGGAAATGAGTGTCATGCTCTTCATCCCCAAAAATCCATCAGCAAACCTTGACACAGAAATTGAGTGTGTGTGGCCTCCCTCACTTCCTGACATGGAGCTCCTAGACCTTTGGCGTTGGTGATGGGCTAACAGGTGCCTTTCAGCCACACCTGAGTTCATGTCTATACTAGTAAGGTGTCTTTGCTGTGTTTTGTTGGCTTCTTTTGTTTTGTTTTTACCAGTACCAGGGATCGAACTCAGGACCTTGCGCTTGCCTGGCAGCCACGGTGCCACTGAGTTACATCCCCTTCTCTGGTTTTTCTTGTGCGGAACCCAGGGCCTTGCACATGCTGGGCAAGCATCTATCCCCGAGCTGCACCCCAGCCCTGGGTGACCCTGGATGGGTCCTCAATAGTTCAGGATAGGATCTGGCCTCCTGTGGAACCAGCCAGTGAAGAGAGGGTTGAGCTTTCCAGTCCCAGCACCACCCCCCCAACCCCAGGTACTCACCACTGGCCGACTGAAGCCCAGGCAATGCACCAGCCCTAAAACAGCATGGCTCGGAGAGTTTCTGTGCTGGTGGGCTTAGTGCCCCCATCTCCACCACCAGGATCTGGTGCTGGTCCGTCCCGTGCCTTCCTGAGCGTGGGGAGCCGTTCCGCCAGTGGTCACCCAGAGGGAGGGGCTGTGGGAGCCCCCTGTTTACAGCCGCTCAGCCGGGGAGGCAGTCATGTGAGGCAGAGCCTTCTCATCTGTGGGCCGGAAGGCACCGCACAGTGGCTGTGTGAGGAATGGGGGGATTGATGGTGCGGGAAAACCTCCCTCACTTGGTGTCAGAGGGGGTGCTGGGTGAGAGACAGTTCCCCATCCCTGCATTCACAGGCTCCCTGGTGGCCTGGGCTGGAGGACAATGGCTCAGGTGCTGGGGTGCTGTTAGCACCCCAGGCCACTTCCTTCCAGAGCCCCCATGCCATGGTGGCAGCAGCACACAAATCAACGGGGGTTTCCCTGGCCTGTCCTCGCCCTAAGGCCCTTTAGGGACACTACTGAGGGAGACTGGGGAGAAGTGACAGAAACAGAAACAGGGAAAGGCGGGAGGCGCTTGACTTTCTAAGGAGTATTTACATATCCTGCCTGCCTCCCCTCCTCCTCCGAGCTTCCTGAGGATGGCTCTTTTCTTGGCGTGAATGCTGTGTTAGGGCAGCGCAGCTCTGATCTTGCTTCCCACGGAAAACGCGTTGCAGTGTCAGAGAATCTCAGGTTCCAGAGAGTACTCGGGTTTTCTCAGGTGTCCCCCATAACGGTGACAGCTTGCTGCTTTTTTATAGTCAATGGTGGGGGAAAAGTTAGAGATTTGCACCTTAGCTTGCTTGGCCCGTGTCAGGAAAACATCTTCATTGCTGTGTCTGGGCTGTCAGGCTTCCCTTGCCTTGCAGCTTGCAGGGAAAAGGAAGCCCAGGATGTCTGTGCTATGCTTCAGGCTGTGGGCGGGGGTTCCCAGGGGACATTAAGTCCACGTCAACAGAAGTCCATCACAGGCACACCTCCCAGTGTCCTGGTATAAATGACGATAGAACCAAGGTCGACGGTAGCACGTAGTGGCTACTGTGCAGCCCCTGTATACCGCTGGGCTGCTGGCAGGCTGGCTGCGGGGCAAGGACTGTCATGAGAGTGTGGGGTGGCTGGACAGGTGGACTACGGCTAACGGCTAATGGCTGGGCAGCTGGCAGATGAGGTGAGCTGAGCTGAGCTGAGCAGCTAAGAATACAGACAGGTCAGACGTTCCACCACTCTGCATCCCTCCTCAGGCTTCCCGTGTCCCAGGTGAACTTCCCCAGTTTGAACTGGTGACAAGACACACCTGAAATTTAAATTCGGGCTGGAAAGCTGGGCATGGTGGCACACACCTATAATCCCAGCACTTGGGAGGCTGAGACAGGAGGATCACCATGAGTTCAGGCCAGCCTGGACTACATAGTGAAACCCTGACTCAAAAAAACAAAAGCAAAAAAATAACTGAAGCTGGAGATGTGGCCTGGTGGTGAGCCTGTGCCCAACATAAACAAGGCCCTGTGTTCCTCCCCATCGCCAGCACACAAAATAGTGTAGCTCGTTAAAATGTCTGGAGACCTGTATATGCATTTATAGAAGTTTACCAAGCTATGCCCTTCTGATATGTGTGTTTTACTGTTTAAATGTTTACTTTAGTAAAAAACGTTTTGTTTTTTTTTTTCTTTTGTGTGCACTACCATACCACCTGCAAGGTCTTCTTAAATTTACAAAATGTGTGAGTTGGTAGGAAGGAAAATGAATATGGAGTTAGAAGCCTTAGGTGGTATTTATTTCTGCCACTTATTAGCTGTTTATGTGAACTTGGCCAACAGACTTTCCCTTCCTCGGTGACCTCGTCTGTAGAATGGGGATAACAGTGCTTGCCCTGCCTGTGCTGCAAAGGCACTGACAGCCGGAAGAGAATGGTGTGTGAGGCTCTGAGAGGCGAGCACTCAGGCACAGAGAACAGTGTCCGCTTCTGTCTTTGGTTGTCTCAATTATTTTGAGATAAAATGAGATTGAATTGAATATTTCAAAAAATTTTTAAACTAGACGTTAGAAACCTGAAATGCCATGAAGTCCTAGGTCAACTCTGGAAATTACCTGGGGTTTTTTGGTTTCTTGGTTTGGGTTTTTTAGTGGTGGTGTGGGTTTTTTTCTTCTGTGTTTGTTTGGGGGTGTTTGGTCCTGGATTTTGAACCTGACACCTATGTACACCACCAACCCTGATCACCCCAGATTTTATCTAACATTCCTAAGATAAAAATAATTCAAGACAAGGAGGATCCTCTGCAGTCATATTAGGCAAAACCGAGCACCTCTCACTTAACTTAGAAAAAAATATTACTGATAACAGTGATTATCCCTGATGTTTATTAAGTTTCTAGACAAGAAAATTAGGCAAGGAGCTGTGTTATAATTCAGTGGGACAACACGTGTTTAGTGTGTATGATCCCCTGGGCTCAACACCAAAACACAACAGAAAAAGAAAATTTATATTGTCTTTTAAAAACACTGAAAATGATGAATGGCTACTCCTCCTCCTGCCAGGGCTTGCCCACTACCCTGGGAATCGTGCCAGTCCAGGCCTCTCAGCCATCATGATAGCCTAACTACTCTTACCTCTAGGTGGCAGCAGACATCAAGCAAACGTGCAAGTCTGAGGCAAAGGGAGGGTGGCCTTTCCTGTCTTCTCTCCCACACAGTGCTGGGGATTGAACCCAGCACCTCACGTGTGCCTGGCAAGTGCTGTACTACCCGGCTGCACCCTGACCCTTTTTTTTTTTTATTTGAGACAGTGTCTTGCTAAATTGCCCCAGCTGGCCTGGAACTTGTGAACCTGCTACTTCCACCGCCCTCGAAGCTGAGATTATAGGTGTGGGCTGCCAAGCCCAGCTCAGCAGGGAGCATTTTGTACAAGAAAAAATAGGTGGCTGTTTTACGAAGGAATAATGAGGTGTTCGCTTGGGCAGCACATATACTAAAATAGGAAGGAATAATGAGAATATGAGTTTGAATTGTTTTTTATGTTTTAAAAGGAGTTACATTGTCTGAAGCTCCAAAATTGTCTGCGTCTTGCAAATTCAAATCAAATTTCTCAACCACGAGCAGGTTAAGTCTTTAAAAGGAGTATAAAAAGGGTTAAAGTAGTTAAAAAGCCAGATATTTTGAGGAAAAGTTGAGTGCAATTAAATTCTGTCATACTTTACTATCTGCTTACCCCATGATGAGGGAGATTGACTAGTTTATCTCTAGGACTGCCCTAATTCCTGAGTCAGTTATAGTGTGTGTGTGTGTGTGTGTGGGTGGGTGTGTGTGGGTGTGTGTGGGTGTGTGTGGGTGTGTGTGTGGGCGCGCATGCGCATGGGTGTGTATGTGTACTGTGTGGGCAGGTCACCACTGAACCACAGCTCACACCTTACAAATGCTTTTCAAGTTGAGAACCATGAAATTTTAAGTATTTAATAGAACATAGTGAATAATCCTTTGTAAGTAAAAAAAGCTCTAAAGTAATATAATCGATTTCCTGGTTAATTTAACATAACTTTGGATTTTTGTGTCTCATGTTGTTTTGAGTATACAGATGATTTTGCTTGTGTGTGTGGTTTTAGTTTGGTTGGGTTTTCTTTTAGCTCTTGTGGGTGTCACTGTTTTCCCCAGGCTGATCTCCAGCTGCTGGGCTCAAGCAATCCTCCTCCCTTGGCCCCAAGGCTTGCTTGAGTCTTAAAAGCGTTCACTTTGACTGATATTTTTGCCACCTTGTTAAGGGGATTTTAGTGTATTCATTGCAGTGTAATTTTCTTTGCTAATCATTCAGCTTTATTTTTTTGTAACAGCTTTATGGAGCTATAATTCATATAGGGTAATTCAACCATTTAAAGCATACAATTCCATGTTTTTTGGTATATTTGCAATTGTGTAACTGTCCCGAGTTTGTAGCTTTACTGATTTACATTTTGTAGTTAGAGAAATCCCAAGGGTACAAGATTCCCAAATGGCCACCGGGAAGCCTCCCTTCCTAGTCTGGGTTTTGTCCGGCTTCATGCCAACTTTGGGCTCCAGCCTTTGAAGTGCAGAGCTGGGCCATTCTTTTCGCTACTGAAAAGACAACACAGTTTCTTCTCAGTGCTACCCAGGGAATAAAAAAGACCCCAGGCTGTTGTCCCCAGGGCCCCATCCGGCAGGTCCTGGCTCTCTGTTCACGTTTCTCCTTCGTCCTCCAGAGGGACTTGTAGGCACAGTCCTTCTCCTGGCCTTTTGGACTGTTCTGGGGAGCGATTGAGTGTCTCACAGCAAGGCAGTGTTGTGTTCTGTGTGACTAAGACTGCAGTTTGCAGTTCAGCTGGTCTGTCACTGCCACCGTCCTGGTGGAGCTATGTGTGGCTTTCTCTCCATTTCAGCCTCACAAATCTCTCCTTTGACAACCACTTCAAGTACTGCCCCTCCTTCCCCTCTGCAGTCCAAACTCACACCCTGGCATGGCACTAGTGTTGTCTGCGCCATTCGGGCCGGGCCCTCCCAACAAGGCGCGAACGGGCCTCTCCTCTTCCAAGGCTGCTCTGGCAGCGCCCCAGCTGCACTGGCTTTGCCCTCCACACACAAATCACAGTGCCACCGAGAAGAGTTCCCGCCCACCTCGCTGGGAAGAGCCGAGTCACCCAGCGGAGCCTTCCCAACTGTCACTTTTCCTTTGAATAAGTATGCTGGTGTTTGTGCTCTTTTTCTTTTTTTCTTTCTTTCTTTTTTTTTTTTTTTTTTTTTGGTAATGGGGATCAAACTCGGGACCTTGCACTTGCGAGCCAGGTGGTGGAACCCCTGAGCTAAATCCCTGGCCCTGTGCTTTCTTAATCTTAAATAGCAAACCAGCTGCTTTCTGACAGCCTAGGTGGAACAACTCTCTTGGAGAACAAGTGGGATTTTGGTAACTAGGAAAACTCTCCCAAATTGATTCTGTTCTCTGTGTCTTTGAAATGTTAGCAATTGGATACAAGGCTTTGGGAAGTTAGTCAAGGAGTGAACATAAGACTTATTACAGGACCTTACAGTTGGGGGACTGGGACATGGCTTAGTGGTAGACTACTTACTTGGTACATGCAAGGCCTTGGGTTCAATCCCTAGCACTTCAAAGAAGAAAAAGGGTTTCTTTTTGTTATGATCATCTGTTAAGATTAAAGTTAAGCCAGGCATGGTGGTGCATGCCTGTAATCCTCCCATCTGTGGGAGGCTGAGGCAGGAGAGTTGCCGAGAGTTCAAGGCCCTGAGCTACAGTGTGATTTCAAGGTCAACCTGAAATATACATAGCAAGACCTTGTCTCCAAGAGAAAAACAACAACAACAAAAGAAGTTAATCAGGATGTGTCCCTAACTGAATTCATGAGAATGACTCAGGGTATTGAAGAGTTGATTTGCAGAGCATAAGTCTGTTTCTGTGCCATTTGCCATCAGCGCCAGGCACTGCCAGGAGGTTGGGCTCCTGGGGGCTCCTCGGTTTTGCTCGATGACTGAACACTGAACTAGCAGGCGGGGGAGGCTTCACTGAGGTCTGAAGTCCCCCCCACGGTACGGGTGGGCAGGGAGACAGTGAGTACGGGTCTTGCTGACCCAACATGAGGTTCGTTGTTAGAAGTGTTCCCGCAGGAAGAAAGAGAACACAAGGTGAAAGGCAGAATTAGGTTGTTAAGCTTGATTCATAAATCAGTTCTGTGTCTTACAGTACCTCTTCTTGTATTAATAAAAAGAAAAAAGTTCTACCTTGGGATAACATCATTCTCTTCTTTCCTCACTTTTTTTGAAATTTCGCGTTGGAGACAGTGTGTCTCTTCCATTCCATCTTACAGTGGACCCTTGACTGAAGCACTCAATTCGTTCCTGAGGGCTGATTGTAACTCAAGTTGGTCAGTTGCCTTCAGAGTCTCTCTCCTGTATAATTTTAGGCCACACTTCCTTCCAGGCAGACCTCAGTGTGCCTAGAGAGACATTGGCCTGAGATTTCTCAGTTAACCCCACACAGGAAGGGCTGTTGTAATGTTCCTTCCAGGAATCTTCAAGGGTTAAATCTGTACCTGACACCATCTGAAAGCACAACTGGCCCTTCAAGGGTTAAATCTGTACCTGACACCATCTGAAAGCACAACTGGCCGGCATTCGGTTGTAACTCAAAAGTTTGGTCGTAACCCAAGTTGTTTGTATGCAGGCCGGTCTGCTGTAAAAGGCACTTTAGGCCCTGTTTCCTGGAAGGAGGCAGATTTAGTGCCAGCAACTCACAGCTGAGAGAGGGAGGGTGCGCTGTAGACACGCAGCCCTCCTAGGGCCTGCCAGGCCCTTTCCTCCAGGGACGGTCAGTGAGATGCAGCCCCTGAGAAGTTTCCAGCGGGGTGTGCGTCGGTGTCACCGATGTGATGAGCTGTCCCTCAGAACACCCTGAGGCCGCAGCACCTGCGCTTCCTGGGAACCTGCTGGCAGGGTTCCCGCCACCCCCAGAGCCCCTCGGCCTGTGGCACCCGGGATGCTCATGCTGGTGCAGAGCTCACTGTGTCGACCTTCCCGACTGGGAGAAATGGAGCTGAGATGTGAATGCCTTCTCTGCATTACAGGGCAAGCTTTCAAACTGAGACTCTCAGAGCAGCCTGGAGCGCCTTGGGTTTTACCAGAGTTAGGAAGAGGCAAAGAGTTGTTTTGGCTGGATATTAGAAGAAAAATCCTTTTTATTGAGTAATGCGATCGGTTATACACCAGGCACGTCATGTTTATCTTAGTCAGACTTTGTGACTGTTATTGCATGCAGATCTGTTGGCCCCATTTTATGGATGAGGACGTAAGGCCCGAGGAGTTCAGTAATTTGTCCACATTCACAGAGCTAGTGGAGTACTGGACTTGAGCCCAGTCCTGTCTTCCAAACCCAAGATTTTTCTGTTAGCTAATTCTCTTTTATTCTTAGTCAACTTCAAAATTGGTGTATCTAAAAATCATGAAATTAAGCATGAACTGCCCAGCTTATATGTGGGGAAGAAGAGAGATGCATTTTCTTTTTTTTGGTACTGGGGATCGAACTTGGGTCCTTGCGCTTGCGCAGCAGGCAGTGAAACCACTGAGCTAAATCCCCGGCCAAGAGATGCATTCTAACTAAAGAAATAAAATGCCTTCTTCCACTAGAAAATTAAATGAAGAACAATGGAAAAATATAAAATTTAAAAATATTGACGTTCCCAAAGAATATTCTTTGTTTGTTGAAAGCCTGTGATGCCAGGCGAGGTGGTGCACACCTGTAATCCCAGCGCTTGGCAGGCTGAGGCAGGAAGATTGCCATGAGTTCAAGGCCAGTCTGGGCTACATAGATAGTTCAACTGCATAATAAGACCTGTCTCAAAAAAAAAAAGGCCTGTAGTGAATTTCCTCATTTAAAGGAATATTAATTTTGATTTCTCTGACTTCGGCCTAAGGTGGGAGATTCTAGATTATTTACTAGAATAGTAAGTATTCCTGTCAGCTGAACTGATATTCGGGGATCTTCGGTGGTAGGTGTTTGGGACACACATAAACCCATGGCTCTGAGGCAAGAGGGCCACAGGTTTGAGATCTGCTTGGGTGATTTCACAAGGAGAGGACTGGGGCTACAGCTCAGTGATAGAACACACCTGGCTTCCATCCGCCAGTATAGCAAAAAATAAACGAACTCATGGCTTAAGCTCCACTTCTGGGATTTTTCTCCTGACCGCCCTCCTTTTCCAGGTGAAAATTGTAGCAATGAATGAGGATGCCACCCTCCGATCGGCCCTGGATAAGAACCTGAGAAGCGCAGTGACCGCGGCCTTCCTCATGCTCCCCGAGAGCTTTTCCGAGGAAGAGCTATTCATGGAGATCGCGGGGCTGTCCTACGCAGGTGAGTGGTGGGGTGCCGGGCGCAAGGAGGCAGGGACCTCAAGGCTCCACCCATGCCCTGCCCTTTCACGGTAGTCCTGAGGTGACTTCCGTGTTGGCTTTTTCTGACCTGCTTGAGAGTAGCAGGTCCATGCCGTGTCCCTCTGTGTGTTCTCTTAACTGCACCGTAGGACAGTGCTGACCCAGTGTTTGTGTCCAGTTGGCAGTCCCTGCCACAGATGCAGTTGTCCCAATAATGTCCTTTGTGGCATTTTTTCCTCCATATATGGCCCAGTCTCGGATCATATCCTGTACTCACTGTTGACGCTCCTGTTGGTGGTTTTGGTTTGGTGCTGGGGACTGAACCAGGGCCTTGTCCCTCTTACTCCGGAGCCCTCTTGCTTCTCCATGCCTCACAGGATGTGAAGTTCTGGAGTTGATACAGTGACGTGTGCCCCTCTCTCGGCAGTGTGTCCCTTTTCATGCAAGCATTTTGCATGAGGAGCATTTGGATGTCCTGCTTCCTATGAATGCATCCTGCCTATTGATGGTTCCAGTCTTTACTGGTATGATGCCGAAGTGCCGATTTTCCAAATTCATCTCATCCTCCACAGGAGGGAAGAGCGTTCCTTCCTGCCTCATTCATTTATTTGTCTATTATTTATCTAAATGTCAACTTTCTTTCCCTTTCAATGCTTTGTGTTCTCAAAGAAACGAGCAAGGGGGGCCGGGAAGATGGAGCCCTTGATGCCAGCAGAGGAGCATCACATCTCTGAAATAGTGAAGTTCCGTGCGAGCTCTCATCTGCAGGGCTGGGATGCAGCTCAGGGGTAGAGCACTTGCCTGACATGCGCAGGCTGTAGGGTTTGAGGCCAGCACCATACACACATACACACAAATTCATTTAAAAAAAAAGTGGTGGTCCACATCTGTAATCCCAGTACTCAGGAGGCTGAGGCAGGAGGATTGCTGCGAGTTCAAGGCCAGCCTGCACTACAAAGCAAGGCCCTATCTCAGAAACAAAGCAAGTGTGGCAACCTACTTTCTGTTTCCCCTTCTGTCTCTCTTAGAAGCTTTCTTTCAATAAATTGTTCCTACTCTTAAAAAAAAAGTGCCCTCATACTTAGGCAAAAAGAGTTTGAGGGTGAGGGTGTAGCTCAGCAGTAGAACATTTGCTAGCTTGCATAAGGTTCCAGGTTCAATCTCCAGCACTTTCTTATATAAACTTTCCTAATTTTAGTATGAGTCCAAGAACTTCATCCTCAAAGCATTGCAAAGGCTGCTTGCTTACTCTGAGCCCCTGGTACAGAGAGAAGATTTCATGGAAATTTGCTGCTGTGAGAGACCTCAGAGGTCTGATTCCCCAGCTTCTTCCTAAAATGCTGATAGGGCAGCGGAGCACTGGAAAGGAAGCTGATACTGCTGCCTTTGGTGGTGTCCACTGCACTGAGAGGCAGAGGGGAAGAGCGGTGGCGTGGCATGGAGAGCCCATGTCAGAGTGAGTCCGTGGCTGCTGCCCTGTGGGAGAAAGCATGCAGCAGAACCCTTTGGTGCCTCACTGGCTCTGTGAAAGAAGACGTAGGACTGTGCCATGCAGCCCCAGAACCACCACCTCCTCCTCCCCCCGACCCCCGGCTCCCCCTCCATTTTTTCCTATGATCAGCATTACTGTGGTGCTTGCTGGCTTCTAGGAGTTCTTTATAAATTATTATTTGGTTGTTGTGGTTGGTTTTTTGAGACAGGGTCTCACTGTGTAGTTCAGGCTGGCCTTGAGCTCACTGTGTAGCCCAGGCTGGCCACCTCGCCCAGCTTGTCTTTATAAATTCTGAACATTGAGTCAAGCATCTCATCAAATGACACACCTGCTTTCACCTACTTGTATTTTGGTGCTGGGATCCAACCCAGGGCCTCATGGATGCTGCACACATGAGGTACCTCTGAGCAAACCCCAGCCCCAGACTTTCTTCAGGTAACCTTTGACTGTGCTGAGGCCCAAGCTGATATTTGCTGGAACTGGACTAGGAAGGGTAGCAAAGGATCGAGGCCCTCAGGGAGAATTCCCTGGGTATGACATTTGACTTGGGCCATGTGTTAAAAGGCAGATTTTCCTCCTGTCTTCCCTAGGCTTCTGAGAATCCATCCTCCTTGAACTGATCCAATTCTGTCCCTTTGGCGAACCACCCGAGTGTCTCAAGCCCTCAGAACATTCCAAAATTCAGATGACCTTCCAATCTCACCTGAATTTACAACTTTGACACTCTCCACCTTTTCCCAGGTGAGAGATGCCTGTGGTCCCTATCCGGGGAGGATCAAGACTTCTCCCAGAGGGGACAAGGATGGAGAAAACAGTGTCTTTCTCTCTAAGTTCCTGGACACGTTCCGGCCTGTAATGACCGACAGAGCCCGGCACTGTGACTGTTGCCAGCATAGTAACAGCCGTGGCAGTTTTATGTGGCCCTTAACGATCCCTGAGCTCTGGGCTCCCGTTTATGGCAGCATTGCTCTAAGTGGTGGGTGAGAACAGGGTAGGTGGAGAAGCCCCCGACAGCCAGGAGGAGAAAGCTTTCCAGTCCTCACGGAAGAGGAGTCCACTTTGAATTTTCCTTCGTAAGGATGAACCAGTGCCGTTCAGGATCCTGATTTGACAGCTGTCAGATGAATTGACTTCCCAGACCCTGAAGAACCAAAGGTAGACTCTGCTCCAGGGTGCTCCGAGTTGAAAAACACATGCAGTTGCAGGCGTCTTGGGGAACTCGGGAAACACACGGGTGGAAAAGACAGGCGGCCTGAGGGGAAGCAGTGGCTCAGTGGGACTGCAGTCCATGGTTCAGGGTGGAAAAAACAGCTTTTATTACCCAGTGCCCAACCTGCTGCCCATACTTCCAGTGTCACAGCAGCTTCATCCTTATGACAGCTTTCTCTTTGGGTGCTGTGCTCCCCCCGCCACCACCCGGGTCGCAGAGGAGAACAGGCCAGCAAGGTCCCTGACTCAGTCCCTGAGTGCAGCAGGTGGTGGACCTAGTCCCAGCATCCCAGGGGGACTTAGCCCTTCCCAGGCCCCCAGCATGCTCACAAACCAGTGGCTCCTAAAGACATGTGTCTGGACAGCCTGTGTGAAAGACACAGGCATTGGGCTGGAGATTTAGCTCAGCAGTTCTGGCACCTGCCTCGCAAGTGCAAGGTCCTGAGTTTGATCCCCAGTACCAAAAAAACAAAACAACAAGAAAAAAAAGACGCAGGCATTGCACAGAGGAGGTTCGGTGTGGTTGTCATGGATGTGTTGTCACATTGTCCTCCAGTTGACACACTGTCATTGAGCAGTGATTGATGAGCACTCGGGTTACACTGGCTATCACTGTTATTGTTAACACCCCTGCAAGCCCCTTTTACAGATTACAAAAATTGGTAAGCAAAGGGGAGGCACCACACTGTGGGATTACAATGCCAGAAGAATTATACAAAGTGAAGCCAGGTTTGGGGCCACATGCTCGAAATTCCAGCACTCTGGGAGGCTGAGGCAGGAAGATTACAAGTTCAAGCCCATCCTGGGCAACTTAGCAACTTAGTGAGACTCTGTCTCAAAAGAAAAAAGGGGCTGGGATGGAGCTAGGAGTGAAGACCCTAGGTTCAATGCTCAGCCTCTACCCCATCCCCTCAAAAATAATACAAGTCAACAAGAAATGCCTGTCCAACCAGCTGAATACTTAGACTAGGAGGACTGAAACTTAGCCCCATTCACGTGGTGCTTCAAGGTCATAAGGAATGAGATTCATCTTCTGGCACCCTCCTATAAGAGAACAGGCTGCTTTTCATGCCAGGGTGTCTGAGCGCAGCAAGGCTGCTTTGAGGAATAAAGCAGTGCTGCAAGAAGTTGACAGTTGAGTGATTCTTGGGACCAGCTCAGCAACAGGTGTCAGCGTCCTGGAGTGTGATTTAACATCCCTGTGTAGATTCCAGTAAATGAGGAGAGAAGCCAGATGGGGTGGTGCACGCCTTATCATCCCAGCACTTGGGAGGCTGAGGCAGTGATCACCACAAGTTCAAGGCCAGCCTGGAGTATATCGCAAGTTCCATTAAAGTCAGGAAAAAAATGCTTCCTGTAGAGTAAACGCCACTGGGGTCATCCACCATGCACAGGCAGCCAGAGCCTCGAAGGCAGTCTCAACAGTGCTCCGCCTCTGGGATTTAGAACCTCCTCTCCACTTGGGGGCGCGAGCTTTGTAGAGGCCCGTGCTGGAACACTGTGTCCTCAGTGGTCATCTGCTCCTGGAGGGCCAGTCATCACGCCTATGCCTAACATCGTGGGTCCCATACCAGCATCATGCACCATTCTAAGCGTTCTTCATGTGCTACCACGCCCAGGCCCTGAAAGCTGTGTGCTGTTTGCTTTCTGGCCTCAGTCTGCACTCAGAATCTCGAAGCCCAGGAGCTTCCCCAACCTGCCCTGAGTGTTGCGGGAGCACAGGGGCTCATCTTGTGCCTGCGCTCACTGGCACCCTCACTGTCTCTGAAGGGTCTGTCCTGCTCATCCCAAGTCTCCTGGGGCAGTTTCCTCACTTTACAGCTCAGTTCTGCCTCACACTGCGGCCTCCCTGACTCCTCTGCCTCCCCGTCGTCTCTCCCTGCCTTGGCTTCCTCCACAGGTTCTCTAGTCTGACACCCTGTGGAGTTTCCTGGTCTGTCTTTGGTCTTCATCCCACCTTGGCATGTGATGGCAGGTGTGTTTGTCTCACTTTGTTCCCTCTGCCTGGTGCTTAGAGATGCTCTGTGGCTGCCATCAATCAGGTTCCCTTTCTGAGTCCTCCTCCCACCCTGTGTTCTCTGTAGAAAACAAAGCCTGGTTCTGGTTCGGACCACCAGATCCCTCCTTTCATTCCACACACCAGCTGGTGCAGAGCAGCATTTTCTGCAGCCCTGGAGGTATTTGTGGGAACTCCTCCTGGGTAACATGTCAGACTGCCTCCTAGAAATACTGCTTTTGTCTCCCTGACCTTTTTGTAGTGCTGAGGCCAAACCCAAGGC